AAAAAAAGTGAAATCCTGAAATGGAAATGTGGCTAAATTGAAGATTTTGGATTTGTTCAGTAATTGTTTTTGCACATTAGGCCAGCAGTGGTGCAACGGTATTCAAATGTATGTAACTGTGTGAGTTGATGGGTTACCTTTGAAGTGTATATCATATATCCAGAATTGTGATCTTTAATTATTTGAAACCATAATTACAACCCCCCATTGGATTGTTTTGAGTTCCCTTGCGGTTTACCACTTGAAGTCATCTTTTGCTTCTTACAAGCTCGACGCGGTCAACTCACTTTAGCCTCCATCTCGCTCAATTTGGTCAATATTTTGAATTTTTGATTATATTATTTTATCTGAAATTGGACTACCGAATTCTTAAGTTTCATCTCTTTGTGTTAATGTGTAAGATAGTCCTTAAAGTCCTTTCACAAATAAGGCATTTTTGTAACAATCGATGGCTACATTCACAACTAATCATTTGGCCAACATATCACATATCATGAATTATTATTTGGACCGCTTGAACTTGATTGGCCACCGATTTGGTGTCAACATCTCATACTTTATAATTTTTACGACAATAAATTTCATAATGAAGTTGCTTTTTATCCTGTACTTTGTTTTCAAGGAGTTTCCTAACTCCTTAAACGTCTTAACAGTAGGACTATGTATTGTGAAGTGTGTTGTTTACCTCGTTAAGTATTAGATTTCTACACAATATATCATTAAAGTATCAAACATCCAACTTCATACTCATACGTACATCGGTGTCGTGTTCCAAAACGATCGAAGAATGTTCCTTGAGGAAACGAGAAATAGAAATCAATCTATATATATATATATATAATAAAAATTACCATTTACCAAAAATAGTAGCAAAAAAAATAGGCCAAAATTTAATGCAGCCTATAAATAGTAAGTTTTATTAGTTTTCTTATTTTTTTCTTTAAAAATCATACAGCAATAAATGTTACCTTAAATTTCGGGTTTTAGTTTTTATTATTTAAAAAATCCGGCTAAGATTTATTAAGTGTGTATGTTTTTATTTTTACTTTTTTCTGAAAAACAACGAACAACATTAAAATCTCGGTCTCTATATTTATAAAATCTCAATTCAAAATATAACAAAAGTTTTAGAATTTCGTTCTTTATATTTGTGCCTTTAAAAAAATATTGAACGCTAAAAATATTTTTTAAATTGCATAATCAATTAATTAATCTTAATTTTTTGAAAACTTCTATGTTTATTTTTTATTAATATGCATAAAGTAAAAATAATCAATTCATCTTTAGATATATAATTTATAGTCTTAATATACTATCATTTGGTGTAGACATTTATTATATGAATCATAAAATTAAGTATATTTAAAGAAAATAATAAAATTTATGTACAGTAAATATAAGGTTTTCAGAACTGGATTGTCATTGTAATGATCAAGCTATTTTATTAAATCATTTGTGGTTTGTTCAGATTTTAATTTATAAACATTTCAATAGATTTACATAAAATGTGTTACTTAGATATCTAAACAATTTATAAATTCAAATTTGTAAACTAATTGATAAATAATTTATAAATCTCTATTTTATTTAAATATGTAATTTTATTTAAAATAATTTTAAATATAACAAAAATTATTTAGAAAATCGTATAGATCCTACCAGTCCAACAGATTGGTGTTGACGGATTCGAGGGCAAATATTTTATTCAAGCGAACTAGACTGGTTATAAACCGGTTCTCGGTCCATCACTGTGTCCAACTCGGTTTAATTTAAAAACAATGGATAAATCATGATTAATATTTTTTATATATTTAATTTATAATACAATCGTAATATTTTTTTACGTGCATCGCACGGGCCACGCACTAGTGATAGTAATATAAAATAACACATTTTGTTGTCACCTCAGATGTCGGTAAATTTTGATTGCTTTCGCCAAGTACGACAAGGGTTGCCCAAAGTAACATGAGTTCTCGTGCTCGTGGTCTTCAGAGAATCTACACAAATTCATCTTACCAATGTTTGAAAAAACATACTTGAATTTTTAGAGAACGACAACAAACGACATGATCAAATATGAATTAAAACTCAAACAAACTCAAAGCATAGAATTCAAATAATTGAACAAAGTCTAGACACATAAAACATGTTTTCCATAAGATTTAAAAGCTCTGTTACAATACTCGCAGCTTTCAGTATACACCGACTTACTGCGTATTTAAAAAAATATAAGACTTCAGCCAACATTTCTAATGTCAAGTCTCAAAAATGAAAGAAAATTCACAATATATATGTTTTATGAAATTTGAAATAATGCAGCGACATTGCACAATCATTTCATATATAGAGTACTAGAGAAAATATCTTAATTTATCCTGAATAGTTCAGATTAGGCTCTCCACACCAGCCTTAAAGATCGAGTCAAACAGCCCCTTGAAAATAGACTCCCGCGAAGAAATTTTCTTCGTTTTCAGTTGAGATGAGTTACTCACCCCGTCAAACACGCCCTTAAAATATTTGACAAAATCCACTCTTCTCAACTCCCAAAATCCAATCACCTATACGCGCACGTCTCTGTATCTATACACCTACATTTACCTTTAAATGGCGACGGCGGCGGTGGAGCCACCGAGAAAACGCCACATTCCCGCACCGATGACGCTCCCCGGCCCAAAACCACAAAGAGTCTGCTTCTCTTACGCAGCCTACACGAAGAATCTGATCGATTATCTAATTAAATCGAATGTCCCGGTGGAGCCCGGCCTTTCCGACGCGGAGGTCACCGCCGTCGAGGCGGCGTTCCATTTCGCCTTCCCGCCGGACCTCCGGTCCATCCTCCAGGAAGGCCTACCGGTCGGGCCCGGTTTCCCCAACTGGCGGTCCTCGTCCAAGCAGCAGCTCGAGATCTCAATCAATCTGCCGATTATGGGGATCTGCAAGGAAGTCTCGAGAAACGGGCTCTGGATCGGGTCGTGGGGAGAAAGGCCCGAGGGCCCGGACCGGGCCGCGAATTTGGCGCGAGATTTCCTGAAGAAATCCCCAATTCTGGTTCCGATCTACAATCGCTTCTACATCCCGGCGGCGCCCTCCGCCGCGGGAAATCCCGTGTTCTACGTGCACGGCGGTGACGTGAGGCTTTGGAGCTTCGACATATCCGGTTTTTTCCAGCAGGTGGAGCTCCGGGTTGGCGGCGCCGGAGAGGAGGATTCAGGGCGGCGGAGGGTGAGTAATTTGCTGGCGGTGCCTGCGTGGGCAGCGAAGGAGGCTCGGAGGGTGGAGTTCTGGACGGATTTGGCGGCGGAGGAGGGTGGGGCGCGTCGGGGAACGCGCGGGTGGTGGAGTGGGGATTTGGGAGGGTGTTTAGAGAAGGTGTGCGGGAGGTTGAGGGGTGGAGGGTGGAGAGAGGAGGAGATAAGAGAGATGATGACGATGGACGCCTGCGATGATGGGCTCTGTCGAGATGGGGGAGAGCCAATGGGGGTGGGACACGTGGAGAAGCTGAGGATGAGATTGCTGGGTGCGGGGTGGAGCAGTGAGGATGTTGAGGAAGCGCTGGGAAAAGGAGAAAGAGAGAAGAGAGGATAGTTACTTATGGCGTACAATATAATGGAATTTCGTAGGAATGAAATGAATTGAGGAATGGAATGATTATGAGAATGGAATGAAACAAGTTTTGTCTTGATGTTTTTGGTATGCACAAGAAATATGACTTGAATGAAAATGATATTATCATTTTTTATTATAAAAATAAATAAAAGTTTTTTAAAAAAAATAATATATTTTTAATAAATTATATATAAATGCTTTTAATAATATATAAAAATAAAATAATATATTTTTAATAATATAAAAAATAATATATTTTAATAATATATAAAAATAAAATAATATATTTTTAAATTATATATAAAAAATAATATATTCTTAAAAGTAATATATTTTTAATATATAAAATTAATATATTTTTAATGATATATAAAAATAAAAAGTAATATTTTTTTAATTATATATATTTTATTTTTTAATTAAAAAATAAATAAAAGTAAGTTTTCAATTTTTTATTTAAATTTTATTTTTAAAATATTAATAAAAAATATATTTTTTTATTTTTTAATAATATATTTTTAATATATAAAAAATAATATATTTTTAATAATATATAAAAATAAATAATATTTTCTTAAATCTATACTTATATAATAAGAATTAACATTTATCCAAAATAGTAGGTTAAATTCTATGGAGCCATCGGATGGTTTTCTTATGGAGTCATCCATCACTTAGTATATTGACACATGTCCAAAGTGTATTTATTGCAGGACACGTGTCAATACACAATTTGTCAATAACTATGGATGACTCCACAAGTCGAGCCATCAGATGACTCCATAGCAAAACTGATCTACTTAATATCTACAACATTCTTTTACCAATAAATTAAAAGTTTGAAATTCTATGATTTTCAAACTAATCATAACGTAACAAAAAAAGAAAAACTAAAATTCAATAAATAGGACACGACTGGATATATGTAATTTTATTTTATTTTGTTTTATTTTATTTTTCGATTGAATGGATAAAGTGAACTAGAGAGTGGAAAATATAGCCATTTTCGATTGAAGACATTTGTTCTCTCTTGGCTTCTTTCCCAGTAAGCTCTGTATTGTCTGCTTGATAGCTTTTGTTTAATTTGGGAGTTAGTGTAGTATGAGTCTGTATGCTAGCTTTTGTATTTGGTGGAGTTTTGTTAATGTAATTTCTGTGGTTTTGTTTTTTTGGGTGTCTTTTGTTGGCATGGCCTGCTGTGGGCTGTAGGGGGATCACATTTAGTATCTCCTCTGTTTGTAATATACCTAGTTGTAGGTGTGGCACAAACTTGGTCTCAACCCGTTGGTTGATCCTATTGTACATTTGGGAGTTGGTGTGTTATAAGATTTGANATTTTAATTTGGATTGGTTGGATAAAGTGAGTAGAGGAGAGTGGAAAAAATTGATAAGGTAGAAGAAATCGATTTATTTTGAGGTATTGAATGCGTATCAGGTAAAATGTAATGATCAACGGGCGGATATCTTTTACACTTCTTTATATACATATTTTTTCCTTTCACACTATTCCGTTAAAAAACTTTTTTTCATCACACAAGTCAAATGATATGCGATAATAACCAAATGAAAGGCATAATGTCATCATTATGCGAGAAAATTTTGCATATTCAAATCGAACGTCGTATATGTGCGACATTTTTCTGCATAGTTTACGACTCGCATAGCCAAATCTATAACGCCGTATAATAACGATTATGCATAATAGGTTCGCATATTCACGAATCGCATATACAAATCGAAAACCGCATAATTTAGGATTATCCGGCATTTTTTCGCATATCCATATCATGAATCACATATCCGCCAAAAATATTTCGCATATTATTCGCATAATCGCTTTGATTGTATGGATTTTCACGTGAAAAACTTAGACAAATGGCATGCACCCATTCATTAGTTGAGTTGATGTATCTCTCCAACCATTATTACTAGTCATTAATTGCAAGCTTTAAATGCTATATCTGTCATTAACACATCTCGGGAAAAAAAAAAATGCTAGCAAGTTTGCAGCCGTGTTAGAGTATGCGTGCACTATGGCGGTACGTTTTCTTTGGATAACTATATTGGTGTTATGGCAGAGCAGATGAATAAATTCTAACCCACAAAATGTATTCTGCATTGGTTTCTCGTTTTCAAGCATTATCACTATGGCGGTACGTTTTCCTTGGGTTACTATATTGGTGGTGTGGCAGAGCTGATGATAATAAATTTGGCCCTACAAATGTATTCTGAAGTTGTTTATCATGTTCATGCATTATTAAAGTTCGATCCTTGTAATTTTGAGTACATATTGTAGTTATCTTTTTCAGTCTACCGTGTAGTTTATCGCATAAATATTTTGCGTTTTATCAAATATCTTTTTCTGTCTGTCGCATATATATCGCATAATTGGTTCACACTTAATGGGGTAAAAAAGATAACTTACTAATTGGCGGTGTATAACATATTCATAGCGGTGTGAAAATAGTCATTTCCTCGTAATTAATATTGATAAGAAATAAGTAGTAAAACAATAATTAAAAATAACTGGTATTAAAAAATATGAGATTAGATAAATATTGAACTATGTGGAAAATGTGTAGTAATGACTGATTTTATTATTTAATTTTATTGATAATACAGTAGAAAAAGAAAAGTTAGATTAGATAAATAGTAAATTTGAGTTAAACATTTGTTCAAAAATATTCTAACCCACAAAACCAAACATTTGTATATCCAGTTACCCTAACTGAATCTAATAACACCAAGTTACACGGTTCGGCTCGATATTTAGATTTTACTATGTATTTGGGCTTGGTTCTTACAAAACCACTCCAAATCAAAAAATTGAAACC